TTATTTCCATATAGAGTTTTAAAATTTAATAAATATCTCAGATTTAGTTTTATGAATAAAATACATCCATACATTTTAAAAATATAGTAGACTTACAGTGAAAAACTTTGGACCCAGTTTATACTTTCTGTTAGTTCCTTTATAATTTGAAATATATTTGGAACATTGGCTGGACTATTTGTGTATGTGGAGATGCACATATGTGTGTATAAAATATTTTCAAGTAGAGTCTCTAATTATTTCTATTTTTCTTTGCATAATTTACCTTTATGGAAACCTTAAATACTTTCAGCTCCTCAAAAAATAAACAAACAAACAAACAAACAAACAAACAAACAAATAAATAAATAAATAAATAGCATTTGAAATGTGTGCAGCTCCCCTTTTCCTTGGAGCCGGATCTCTGGAGGTAGCACGTTGAAGCGACTACCGACTACCAGTAGCCATCTGGCCTGGTCCCTGCCTCCCCTGGGCCACGCCTCCCTTTTCTCTTTCCTGCTTTACTCCCTTGTAATGCTGATCCATAGTCTCAGTGATTTCCCTTCAAAGAGCAGGTAGGAGTTAAGTTTTTTGAATTTCTGCATGTTGAAATGCTTGAGTAATTAAGAATTACGGTGTAACTCAAGAATTATAGTTTTATATTATAAAATATATAATCATTTTACCACATTATGGAAATAACATTTTCTATAAATTTATGCTCCTATATAATGCATTTACATAAATAGAAAAATTATTAAACTATTAATATATTATTTAATTTTTATTATTGTCATTAGTTTTTTACATTTAATTTTTGGAGTTACATTCCTGCTCTTTCATATGTGTACATGTTCCACTTACCCTCCTTATTATCACTGTTACAACATTTCCATGCTTCTACTCACTGTTATAACACTTCCATGCTTCTACTCACTGTAAGATGCTTTAAGCTTTCCACACTAGATGTTTTCATTGATGCACAGGGTAGAAAAATCAATTATTTTGTAATTTTTGAAATATTTAATGTCAAACAGATATGCTAGATGCTATGGGAACAGTAAATTTTAAAATGCAATTTCTGCCTTCAAGGTTCTTATAATCCATTTTCAGAGATAAACTAAAGAAAGATAATGAAAACTTTAAGGCAATAAAATTAAAGCAGTAAAGGGCCAGAGAAGCATTTTTTGGGTAGGTGCCTAAGAGTAGAATTGCTTGATCATGTGCTAGATCTATGTTTAATGTTTTGAGATACTTCCATACTGATGTTCTTAGAGGCTGGATTATTCTACATGTCCAGCAACGGTGTACAAGGGTTCTATGGGACATTTTAAATAAATGTGGTGCCTTTCCTCTGCTTATTCTAATTCAGGAGGCTTGGGTGATGATGATGTTCTAGTTGCTACTCACTGGAAGGTGAGTAGACCATGATGAATTGACCCAAGGTTCTTTTTTGTTTGTTTGTTTGTTTGTTTTATAAATATATTAGATAAAATTTGTTTTAAGGTTATAAAGGATGATGGGAAGATATTCCAAATGAGGGACTTAAATCTGACATTGATAATAATAGGAAGCCCTTCTAGATTCTTCAGTAGTGGAAACACATAATCAGTTGCATTTTAAAAGTTATTTCATTCTCTCATTCATTCATTTTTGTTTTTATTTTGAACAAGCAGTTGACACTTTTTGTTTTACCCCTTTTTAACACATTTCTCCTGCTTGCCTACCTCATCCCTGCCTCTGGCAATCACCAGTTCTTTTTATCTATCTATTCATTCATTCACGCATTCATTTTTTATTTAAATATTTATTTATCACCAACATCAATGAATCAGAGAGGATGACAGATCTTATGACTGTTTTCAAAATATGTTTCAAGAAGGAAAATCACATAGACGTTTATGGTTGTACATAAAATGTGTTATCATGACTTGGCTAAATGGGAAGAAGAACTGAGGAAATTTCATAATTCAGTGGAAGGGATGAAGGAGAAGATGACACCAGTCTTTGCAGGTTCACTCTTCTTATGCTGCCCTCCCAGGGCTGGAAGCAGGGAAGGTGTGAGCAGATGACAGCCACTGTATGCTTCTAGCTCTACTGCTCAGAACTGTGTCAATCTGGCAAGGACAAGCTGCTGTGGCTCAATAAGCCCTTGAAAGAGGGTTCCAGAGAAGCTATATTTTCAATTCATAAGTGATGAGATTCCTGCCAAGCTGCTTCTGAATTAAATGAAATCTAAAATATGAGGAAAACAGGAATGTTCATTAATTTGATAAGACAACCTTTCTAAATGAATGAACCAATCAACTTTATTGTTTCTAGAAAATTGCACCCACCATTATTTTGTAGCCCTGTCTTGTAACAATATAGTACATCTTCTCATTTAACTTTACAAAATAACAAGGTGTGTAATCTCTCTACACAGTGGCAGACATGTTTTCTTGAACAATACTCTATAAAGGTCACATTGGAGATTTAAGTCTCGAACCCTGTGATTTAAATTTGCGGGTAACTTTAAAAATGGTGTGCCTAGAGTTTGCCAAGTTCCATTAAAAGCCATGGTGTCATTTTGGATTACAGTTAAATAGAACAGAATCCAGGAAGCTATTGTAGCTTTCTTAATGGTAATACATATCTTTTCTCCCTTTGTCTTTCCCTGGCTGTGTTTTTATGGTAGATACTCATTTTCATACCAAATATGGAAAATAATGTCTAATTTTGAGGATTTTTTTTCTAACATGGCTCATTTTCTGGCTTTTTAATAATTACCAGAGGATCTATAATAGCCTCATTCCTCTAATTATGGTTGATCTTAAAAACTGTCTTCCACACCAGACTTCTTTATTCTCTTCATCTCAAGAAAAAGAATCTTCAGCTCTAAGGTTCAGAGCACTTTTTGCCTCATAATGTCATCATCCCCTGAGAGAATTCTTCCTAGGATTCGATGAGTACTTGGGTGGTGCCATTTGTGTGCCACTCACCTTCTATAAGTTATCTAACTTAATTCTCACAACAACTAGTAAGGAAGCATATCACTTCTGTATTTTGCAGATGAAGATGCTGAGGTTGGAGAGTTCAATTACAAAAGTCTTACTTCTTCCCCCAGCTCATGCACTAGTAAGGAAGGAGGCAGAGACACCCACAGTCTGTTCCATATCCCTTTCTTCAAACATTTGTCAGTATCACCTTCTTATATATAATTTTTGACATCCTAGTTATATCCCCCACTAGGGCAGTAAAATGCTTTAGGGAAAGAATGCCCTGCTTTTTTTGGTTTTTTTTTTTTCAATATTCCTCAATATTTTCAGTTGATTAATTGATTCCTAAGTGTGCAATAAACAGTTGCTGAGCGAATATTCAAAAAGTACCTTTGAGGCTTCATGGGAAATGGGATCTATGAGTTTAAACTTATGGCATGAAAGTTGACTTTTGAGTGGCATACAAAAACCAAAGGCTAATATTGAAAGTTTTAGGAAGCATTTTTTTTTAATTTTGTATCCCCATAATTTAGGTCAGATTGTATAGTTCAAGGACTTTTTTTTTCTCTATTCTTTGTGCAACTCCTTTCTTCTTTCATGCAAAGATAAACTGGCTGTGTTTGGCTCTATTCTCTTTCCTTTTTCTCCCCTCCATGTAATAATCCCAGGCTCCTGTCCTGCAGAACTCTGAAAATGCAATCAATCAGTTTTCCCTGTTTCTTTATTCATAACTTAAGCTTTTGTTGCCAAAAATAAAATGAAATAAAAATTTCAAAGGTTCTGGGTGACCTTCCTGCTCCGTCATTCTCTAGCCTCTCCAAGGAGCTCCCCAAGCGCCGTGCAGATGTGAGGCTCAGGCAGAAGCCGGTGGTACTAAAACCTGTAACCTTGAGGGAGAGAATTTTGAAGTGTTCTGTGGGCGGACTGTGACTGAGATGGTTGCTGCAGCTGCTGGAGGGTAGCCCGAGGGACGCTCTGTGTGGGCCCAGGAACCACCCGAACCATACAGACTTTCGAGGAAAATGAGAACAGAAAGCTAGAGGGACCTCTGAGCTTTTGCTCAGTCACACTCAGCTGTCAAGATAGAAGGACAGACAGACCCACAGGACACAGTGACCCACTCTGTTCACAGAGGGCATGTGCTCCACTCCAGTTACATCAGGGAAAATCTTAGGGAAGCTGCTGCTCTCCTTTACCTGGTCCATGTGGGAACTGTGGGTCATGCAGAGGAGCCAGAGGACAAGACTTTTGAGTTGCCCCTTGATGCATTGTGACTGTAAATCCATCCCATAGCACAAGGGCATCGCTGGGTGCTGATGGGTTCCCTCAGCTTGCAGAGAGGAAGAAGGATGAGAGAAAAAGCACCCTGCTTAACTCTGCTGTCTGTGGGCTATACTTAGGAAGATGATATTTGATATAAAACAAAGCCAAATTTGGAGATAATATTTCTTACTCAATTTGGTAAAATTTGTATTAATTTCATTTATCGTAGAATTTTTGGTTCTCCTATCTAATCTTTTTGTGAAGTACTTCTCTAAATCGCATGAACACCAGTGAAGTAAGGGAAACAGCCAGCCCTGGGGCCTTTGATGTCCAAGGCTGACCTCTGGAATCTGCTTTAAGTTTTTCCATCTGTGGCTTGAAGCCAGTGCTCCCCAACCTCAGGCCATCGTGTGCTGAAAAGCCCATGTGCATAAAGTTCCCTGGACAGTGACCTGCAGCTGCTGGGCTCTCAGGAACTAGTCAAGCAAGGCCTTCACACTCACATCGCATCCACAGCAGCAGTCCCAGTTTGCTTAGGGAAGGGAAAAAGCGGAATTCACACATAAATTACTCCTATTTTGAGAAATTTCCAAGCATAATGTTGTTTACTGCCATTTTGGAGTAAGGTTTGGGGTGCAAAATTGATAGAAATGAATGTCATTGTTTAGTTGTTTAACTACCAGCAGTAGGTATCTAATGTAGCACATTCTGACCCAGTGACAGGGTGGCAGTGATGGGGCTTTGGACACTTCCTAATCATGTGCTCACTTTTGCTTCCAGAAGCATCTGGCATGTCAAAGCCACATTGTCTTCCACGAGAATTCCTTTGTGAACAGATACTATTTAAAAGACTTTTGTGAATCGCTGCTGTTTCAATCAAGTCTTCAAAGAAAATATTTGTCTTCTGATCTGCTGAAGGTCTTTAAGGTTTGTGTTAATTTTTCCATTTCTCTCACTGATTATACTATTAATTTTGAGGGACATCTTAAAAATAAGTAGTAGTTATACTCTTTTCTAGTGCAGTAAGTGCTCTGAAAGTAGGTTGTATACAAATTGAAATCCTTTAATTTCATTGAGAGGAATGTAAATTGAAATAAATTTGATATGCTGGTTCTCATACTTATAATTAAACACTCTGTGGGATGTTACAAAGATATTAGAAATAAAATACCCCCACATTGGCTAAAAACAAATCTGCATTCATACTCTCACTGACTAGATACAAAAATTTTATATTGAATGTCTACATATATCAGATTTTGTTGAGTACTTTCAGTTAATTAAGAACTTGCGGATAAATTATATTCTGACACATTGAAATTCAAGGCTACACTTTTCTACGTCAGTGAGTATCACTGTGATATAGATTCCCAGTGGCCAGTGTATCTTATTTTATTTTGTTTAACATAGAAAAACCAGGATATAGTAGAGACAAGAAATGCAGGGGAGAGGGTCTCATCAGAGACAGATTGGGGAGCAGAACAGGCAGATTGACTGAAACACATGCTGAGGCGAGCATCTGGTCAGACAAGAGAGATCTGCTGGGCCATAGGTGAGTTTGCTCCATGGCTGGGATAGAATTCAGGCTGCAGTAGTGGCAGCACTGACATTAACCCCTAGGCCACCAACAAGGCCCAGCCAGGCTATTTTAATTTAGTTTCTATCAAGAAGTACTAACCCTGTGAGTTATAAAGATAAAATGGGGTGGTTGTTGTGGTGGTTGTTAACATGTGTATATTAATAGTCAAAAAATTATTAGCAATGTTGAGCTTACTTGAGGAATAGGCTTGCTGGCGAAGGAAACACTTTATTTTGAAAGCAGATGTTTTGCTGCTGAGATAGCACCAAGTGAAACACTTTTATTTTGAAAGTACTTTCTGACAAAGACCTACCCAAAGGCTAAATTCAATCCAAGCATCTTTCATAGATGGGAAAGAGAACAGGAGAGAGGCTACTACTGGGTACACTGAGTGGACGAAATGAAGAGCAAGGGCGAAGGAATGCAGTTCTTTCCCTAGAATGACACGTCTTTTTATTTCAATTGGCTGGACTTCTATTCTGTCCACTGTGACAAATGTCTTCTCCCCTAATGGCCCTTTACTGTGGGTGTGTTTGTTTTGTTTTTTCCCCTTCTTTTATTTCTACTGAGAAATCAAAGTTGATTTTGCTGCAGTGCGAGGCTGGATTCCAGTGTGCCCACTGCACTCTTCATTGTTGGGGTTTATGGATGAGTCACTTTGAGTGGGAAGCACGTGATGTGCAGTGAGGAAAAAGGGTGGATGGCAGTGTGTCTCCATCTTCGACTCTTCCGGCCGTCAATTTGGTAGGATGTCAGTGTGTACTGAAACCTAATGAGCGTGTCTATGGGAACACAAATGCTGGAAAACCTGAGGAGTTACCTGGATGTCCTTTCTAGTCTATGAACATGACCCCACTGAACTGTCTGAAACCACTGAGAATCTGTTCTCAAACGTTCCCGCCTAAGTATTCAGTTTCTTTTGGGAATGTAATTAATTTTTCTCCTGTCTTAAAACTCTTTTGTTAAAAAAACCTGAGCAATCCCTGACCGGCTAGTATGATGCTGCATTTCTTCTCCTATGAAGAAAGGATTTATTGTCCTATAATTAAAGACTCCATTCTCTAGTCTTCCATTTTCTCCTCAGGAGAGATAAGCCTATTAAAAAAAATCTTTTCCTACACATTTCATAATTTAAATTTTACTTATCTTCCCAGATCTTTTCTGAGTTAAAATTTAAAATCCCAAACTATTTGAAACATTGTTAAAAATCACCTATAAAGAGGGCCCTCCCTTTTAGTGCAGTCCTGCAAATCTGGCAATGGCAGCTTCAGTGCCACTTCGAACCCCTTCCCTGGAGGTGACCCATGTGGCATAGCAGACCTCTCCTGACCTCTACCCGCTGATCCCCTCAGCAGTCATCAATCTGCCTGTTCTCCCAACTCTGTCTCTGGTGAATTCCCTCATGGACCCTACACCTCTGGCCTGTACCCCAGTTCTTTATGCATAAATAAATACAATCTTAAAAAAAATCACCTATCGAGAAATCTTAAGGGGCCATTATTGACAATTTGAAGGAGACAGTTTTTTTTTTGTTTTTTTGTTTGTTTGTTTTAAGATTTATTTATATATGCATATAGAACTGGGGTACAAGCCAGAGATGCAGGTATGGTGAGTGGATTCACCAGAGACAGAATGCGGAGCAGAACAGGCTAACTGATGAAGAATATTGCTGAGAGAAGCATCGGGTGGGTCAGGAGAGGTCTGCTGCACCATATGGGTCACATCCAGGCTGGGATCGAACTCATGCTGGTGCAGTTTTAGCTTCTTAATGCTATGCTTTAACCTCTGTGCCACCAGGGAGAGCCCAGGGACCATTTTTGTTTGCGTGTTTGTTTTTGTTTTTATTTTCTTTATACAAGCTTATTTGCTTGGTTTTGAAAACATCAATAATCCTGACTCTCAGAAACCAAGGACCTCTAGCACCCCCTCGTTCTTTGTCGTTGCTGAAATTCACACTGCCCTCACATTTCCCAGCAGATTCCCTGACTGGGAATCTCACATGAGGCTGAAACCTGGAACTGGAAGAGCTGAGGGAAGGCAGGAGCTGGCCCACACCTCAGCATTTAACTGGGCGCCATTCTTTTCTGACTCAGACACATTTCTATTCTGGGATTACTTTTTCTTTTTTAAGGTGTCTAGAAACTAACACACATATTTGGATGTTCTCTTGGAGAACCAGTATTTCTGGTTTGGTGTTTAAGGAAGATCACTGTGCTTTTTACAATAATATGTATATGGGAAAGATAGTATCAGTGCTAAAATCAGCGATGGAAAGTAGTTAAAAGAGGACAGCCGTGAGGGCCTACAGACCAGACAGAGCCCGACCCTCAGGAACCTGGACGGTTGATGTCACCAAGAACAGTCACTGAAAGAGGAAGGGGTGCAAAATCTTACATAAGGGAAGATTGAGAAAAAGGTAAATAACAAAGGAGTATTTTCACCAGCCACCCTAGTTTCAACACTCTATACCATTTCACAGATTCGGAAATTTGAAGGTCATTTGAAATTCTCTCTCCCTTCAGTGCCACTGCCTCTGCCTCACCTATGCTACTGTCCTCCTCCAAGACCGGCTCTCTTCTCTTGTTTGCTTGTCAGCAGCCCCACTTTATCTTCATGCATTTAGAGAATGGGAAAATGACCCAAAGACTTTCATTTCTCCATGTTCTTCCAAGGTCTCTAGTGAAGATATATAAATTAAAACAAAAGGATGCATGTGCAGAAATTTCTATAAGAGTAAGGCTTGCAGGAATATCTCTTTAGACATTGACCTTAATATAGGAGACAGTCTTTCCTTGGGGGAAATATTTTTCATTACTGTGTTCTTTCTTTTTATTTCAAGCAGAAGAACTGGAGTATAGGCTAGAGACGGCGATTGGGGGGTTGAGATAATTCAACAGTGACTGAGTAGGGAGCAGAACAGGCAGATCTACTGAAATCCACTGCTGAAGGAGCAGCTGTGTGAGAAAGCTCCCTGGTAGATGGAACTCAGGCTGCTGATGTGATAGCTCTGACATTTCACCCCACCCCACCATGGAGTCCTCATTACTGTGTTCCTTACATGTAACTTAAGAGATGGTTAATTTCTCATAGTACAGAGATTACTTAATAGAGATGAAGAGAAATGAGAATTCATGACATGAAGATCCAGTTCTAAGCAAGGGTGTTGTGTTACACTTAGCGCCACCTTGGTGCTCATAGAGCACGCAAGGGCAATGTCATGTTGGAAACGGGAACTGATGATAGCACTCTGCTTTCAGGTACAATGAGGAAGCCTAGATAAGACTCACCGTGCATAAAAATACCACATTTATATAGAAAAAATAGTAGCATCAAAGACTTCCCTTACTGTGTGTTATTTAAGTTATTATTTAATGCTATTTATTTTATATTATTGTGTTATTTAATTATTTAAAGCTTTGTGACTGAGTTAGTGAGTTCAATTTTTGAAACCTGGCAATTTTCCTGTCTTGTCTTCTCTTGCTATAACCAAGTTATATTTGACTTCTCAGAGTTTCTCATTTCCTGAAAAGCACCAGTAGCTCTATAAACATGGAAGAATAAATATTAGCTTTATGAGAACACGTTCCTCTACTGGCTGAGAAATAGCATATAATAAAAAGTACAAGAATGTAATATGGAAAATTATAGGTCCGCATGCCCTCTTGTCATGGATATATATCTAATCATCATGCACAGAGACGACGTTTTCAGAAAGGAAAAATGTGTGCTCGTGATACCCCTTGTGTCTGTGATCTATTTCCAGCCTTTAGATTGAACAATCTATCTCAAGGGACTCTTGCTCCTTTACTAGTGAAATGTTGCAGGTTAGTTATCACTATGATTTGAAATACACACACCCCCCAATACCACAACCACACATACTCCTCAGGTTCCTTGCTATGAATTCTTAAAATTGCATTTGAGCCAAAGTTAATAAAATAGTTATAGAACCCCTTTTGCCAAAATTCCCTAGCATTCAATCAACTATTTAGAATGGCATTAGAAAATGTTGAATGCAATTATGAAAGGAAAGCGAATCTTTTTGAGGATTGTTATAAAAAGTCAGTTCTGGTCTTGTCCAACTAATCAGTGCTTTAAATGAGCAAACTGTTATTCCAGAATCCAGACTTTATATATTTTTAGCAATAATGAAAATGTTGTTTTCATGAATGGTCTCCGCCAAATCTTAAATTCACACATTTAAGGAAGAAAAAAGCAGCCTCCATAGACAACATGTAAGGTGAAATACTCACTTAAATCTAGAGGAGTCAGTATTACCATGTACATGGTAAGCCCAGAGGGTTCAGTATTATGATATACAGCAATTCATTTCCACCCAGAAATGACC